AGAGCCTGCTGCATCCTCTCCACCTTCTCCACGTAAACCTGCTTTTTCTTCAGCTGTGCACACACACACACACACACACACACACACACACACACACGCACACACACGCGCGCACACACACACACACACACACACACACACACACACACACACACATTATGTTCCACTACTATTACAACCCTGTAATATTTTAAATTCTCATTCCCTGCATCATTATGCTCACTGCACATTCTGAGCCTCTCAGTGATTTACATGAAACAATTATTCCAATCATATGACATCACTGAATCTCCAAACAAATATAAATCTGATCGATACACAGCCCATAGCAACAGCAGCTCCTGATCCAGTTTACAGGTTTGTTTGTTGTGTGTGAAGCACAGAAACACAGTGATACGTGTTCTTGCTGCTGGTTGGCTGTAGTGCACAAACCAATGAGAACTAAAATCCAGTGAGGAAGTCACACTGTGGACATCATCATCATCATCATCAGTATCCAATGTCATAAAAAGCAGAAAAATAGGTGGATGCATGAGCATGTCATAGCAGTGGCTGCGACACTCGTGCTCATGTTAGTATAATGCTAACATGAGTGCAGCTGGCCCCCTGGAAGCCCACAGTAATAAATTTTAAATTATGAGTTTGCTAAGTTACATATTTATAGAAATGTATTTATATAAAAAGTGAATTAAAACTGGTAATTGGAGCTGGTTAGTTAGTGAGATCGCTCATTACTCTGACCTGAAGTCACTGCTCTCGTAGGGACGTTTGTGCCCCAGTGGCTGGTGGCTCACACACTGGCCTGGTAGCCATTGATAGTCAACAGCCTGTGATGGGTATGTTTTCTGAATAAAACGTTTAGTGCTGGGCAGACACTGTGCGATTTTTGGCCCATTGTGAGCCGATTTTTCAGTCGTGCGACCGTTTTGGTGATCGGTGAGTTTGGCCTTCATCGTGCGTCGTGTAGTATACGCCGGGTAACGAGAAGCGATTAACACCTCACGACCAGCTCCCGATCATCAATCGCTCGTTGTGAGGGTGTCACCGCAGCTGCTCACACTGCGTCACGCGCAAACATAAACGTCGGTGAAAAAGACGGAGCAGCAGTGTGCAGCGTGTGATCTGGACACAAGCGATGGAGGCACAACTTGTAGAACTTTGAAAGCTCATCCGAGCCTTTTCGATGTGGCCTCACAAAATTATCACGACCACAACAACCGTGAAAATAGTTGGATTTACATGCTGCTCAATCACAGCTGCCTGATCAATGTTTTTCATTAGCAATTTAGCAAAGTTGATGGTGGTGGTGTGTCTGTGTGAGTGAAAGACAGAGAGAGGAGCGACAGATTTTCTGTTATAACCTTCATTTTATGGAGCACAGTGTGAGCACTCAGGTCGCATCAGAGCATCGGCCTATGAACTTCTAACCCTGCGAGTCAATCGTGCAGTTTGAGCAGGAGCTGAATAACGTCGACTGAAAAAATCGCACAGTGTAGCCCAGCTTTAGGATGAACCACTCTCTCTTGTATCCTGATTGGGTGGGTCTCATCGGAGTTTCTGCTTTTCAAGTCGACCACAACACTTTTGAATTTGAGAACGGCCACGCCTTTGTAACAGGGACTCAGCCAGCAGAGCCACTCCCTCCACGGTCAGGACCAATAAGATCATGAGCAGCTCCTGACAGGATACAAGATTTATCATTTTGTGCCTGCAAAACTTCTCCTGTTTGAGGTGAATATTTCTCTGTAATGAGGAGCAAACGTTCTGTGGAATTTGTGTGTGAATGTGTGAAAATGGAAAGCGTGCTCCTAAAACGTGTCCAGGGTCAAATGTGAACCTTGTTACTCATTAGATGAGCTCTGAATATTACCAGGCTGTGCTCAGAGTGTGACCTTAACCTGCCACGTTCTCAGAAACTCTTTCGTTTAGCTACCCAAGCTTTATAGCTTTTTATGCACCGTGTTTAAGCTACAGCTTAGTAAACCTATCAGGAACAGATCAGTTACATCTGTAGGCTGATCCATTTCATCAATAGAAATAATTCCACTCTGATCGGCATATAAACTCATTCCCAGAGGACAATCCTAACGTTTACATTTATAAATGACAAACTGCGTCTGTCACATCAGAAGCAAACAGGAACATCAGTCTGTACATTTATTTATCTCCTCGCACTGATCTAATGGCAACGTGAAGGATTTCCTGTAGAAGCTGTGCCTCATTGTACTCTTGGAGTTGTTTTTCTCAGAAAGTAATTAAAGGCTGATCTGCACCACTAAACTTACATGTCATATGTGTGTGTTGTTAAGTGTGTATTCTTCATACACAGCCCTAGAAAAGTGTTTACTCAACATCTATAAATGTAATGCGTCTAAGTCAATGAAAGCAGCGTAGTCAAAAATGCCACACCTCCTCCTCCAACTTGACGACTTTGGCCTGGGCGTTGTTCAGCGCCTGGTCTCTGATCTCGATGTGCCTTCTCTGGTCCTCCGTGGTCGAGCGCAGTGCGTTCAGCTCCATCTCCAGCTTCTCCTTCTCACGCAGCGTCTCTTTGTCTGAGCGCACAGAAGGACATGAAACACTGAACACTGTCCTCACCACAGCAGACCTCAGATACACACTCAATGACACATAAATGACTGACAGTTAACATTTGATGCCACACTAAACACAATTATGTCAAACATGGATCAGCCCAACATCTTCTATACATTTTATATTTGTATAATCTTATATAAAATGATAACTCGTAATTATCACTTTCTTTCTTTGTTATGACAAGAAAACCATCCAGCTTAAGATAAACTCCTGACATGATACGACTGGTTAGAGCGTGCACTGTCCTCTGATCAGCTGAACTCTGTTTCACAGCTTCACCAAGTGAGGCGACAGCACTGAAGTTTCCAGAAGCTTCCTTAAGAGTGATCGTTGGTGTTGTTGCTATGATGATCACACGAACTTTAAGGATGCACCGTCAAGCACTGAGAAAACGCAACATGTGAGTCTAACGAACACGTTCAAGCGTCCACTAGAAACGTAGTCAGTGAGCGCCAGGCTCCACGCGCACATCTGTCAGCTGACAGTGTTTGCTGGCTCGTTCACAGAGAAACCCAACAAACCCGAGTAAAGTGAACAGGAGTCACTACTTTTGCACGTCCATCGTTGTCTCTGTGTTCGGATACGCCCCAACCGAGGCAGGCACAGCAGTAGCAAGCCCCTCCCACAGATAAGGGGCTGATTCAGTACAGCATGAAAGGGACGGTTTCACAACAAAACAGGAACAACACACATTTCGCAACTTCACACAAAGGAGTGATGTCAGTGTATTTGTCAGAAAGAAAGGCTCGACACACTTTGATATGAACCCTGTCAGCGCGAAACCTGACAGGTCTCAGACAAACGAGCTTTAAATGAAGTCCACATAACGTCCCAAACAAGAATAATAACACTTTACACACAAACTGCTTCCTCACAGTTAGACAACAAATAAAATGAGGAAGGTTCACAGAATTTGTGAGGTTGTCTCTGATGTGCCAGGTTGAATTTCACAGTTTGTATCATGTTCTTAATTATTTTGAAGTTAATTGTGAGTCCAGAAACCCCAAAAGTAAAAAACAAAATAAAAACTTAGCAGGTCGAGTTTCTGCCCCGAATAATCACCTCGCTCTACTTTTTAATATCCAAACAGGGAACGCCGGGAATGCTGTAACAGTTCTGAGACTTTCAGCACTGTGTGCTGTGATTCTTGTGCTGCCTGTTAATCATCTCAGCTGGAGTAGACTGGACCGCTTTTTTTTAATGCGAGTCCTTTATGAGAGGATTGAAGGTGGCTGCCATTAAAACCTGGTGACTTGCAGCATTGCCGTGTGAGCTCCATGGACGGCTAAAGATAATGTCGAATGAGTGAAAGCTGAGTGTGTTTGTGGCACCGATGAAGTGTAAAACACTGCTTTCACATCGGGGACATGCTGATGGTTTGACCACCAGCGAGGGTCCGCAGGTTACGGCCCTTCATTTGGACTGTTTAATGAAAAAACGTACTGATACAGGCTAATCTGAGATAATCTGAGAGGTTCACCTACATAAAACAGCTGAGTGTCAGACACAGTCTGTCCAGCTCAACAAGCAAGTCGTCCCGACATAAAAGAGTTGACAAAACGATTGTCTGCTTAGTTTCCATGTGGACACCAACAGGCAACAGTGATGTGCATCATCCTCTAATAGCCTGCATTCTGCTGACAGGTGTTATATTAGAAAATAATAATAATAACTCGTCATTATTCCTCAGGAAGGTTGCTGGTTTGATGCTGTCTATGTGTGGCACTTACTCTGTGTCAGGAGCTGGGAGATGGTTTTGCGGTTGTCCTCCGAGCCGTCACACTCCTTAGCAGCGAGCTGCTTATTAGCGGTTTCCATGCGCTCTTAAAAACAACAGCACATAACACAAAATCTTGGTGCCTGGGTATACACACATACAGCACAATGCATTTCAATGACACTGGTATGGCTTTATCATTGTGCCTCTATTCTGAGCGCATGTAAAAAACCAAAAGAAAAAAACCAACAACACGCAAAAAATTATTTGGAGGGAAGAAAAGTTTAATGTCTCAATGCAAGAAATGTGTTCCAGTTAGGGCTGGGCCATATCATACCGTCCACGGTAATACCGGTGTAATGTTGGGCAACGATAAGAAAATGAAATATGGCGATAGAGTATGGGTAAAAAAGAATATGGTGCCTTTGTTTTCATACCGCACATGAAGGAAAAAGCATGGCAGCGACGGAGAATAAGAAGGGCGAAAGCGGATCGTTGAATGAAACGATGAACCTGAACTGGTTTGTAAAAATGCTGCAGCTTCACTGGTGTGGAACTGGTTTAGCTTTCGTCCGTCAGATACACAACAAAGCACTATTTTTGGCAGAGCATGCTAGCGGTCCGTCGTTATTACCGTGTTGTTTGGAAAATACGGCGCACTTAAAATCAATCCTTTGATTTTTCTGAAAGTCGACAGAGCCCCTTATAACCCCGTGTGCCTTATGTATGAACTCTGGTTGTGTTTACTGACCTCGAAACGATTTTATGTGCACGGCGCTCGAAAATCTGTCAAATGTTTCAGTACGACTTTGCTGAGCTACGAAGCCGCACCGCTTGATGGATTGTTGGAGCGTTACGGCTATCGTAGGCGGAGCCTCGCGGAGTGATACGTGCTGTGCTTCAACATAATGTAACCGTACTGTGTGTGTATAACCTCTTTTTAAGTGTTGTGGATGTTATACATGGTTATGCTGAGGATACGTCGGCCAGTTTCCACTGGAAATGCCTTTTGGTTAAACTGTCAGCAAAGAATTTGCATTTGCACTGTTAAATTTTTATATAACTTTAATGCAGATAAAAAACAGCTGCTTGTTTAAGTGAAAATATATTAGTATAGTGTCAATTATATCGTCAGTTATATCGTTATCGCAAATTTTCAAATGTATATCGTGATAAATATTTTTGGTCATGTCGCCCTGCCCTAATTCCAGTGTTTGCTATTATCCACACACACAATAACAGCCGCTCTCGCTCAGTTGTTGGTATTTGCTCTTGCTCAGATCTCTGCTCCCTGCACGCTCAACTCTCCGTACACCGTCATAAGTGTGCCACAAAACCAACCAATTAAAGACTTGGATGCAAATATTCTGATTGGCTGTAACGGTCTCCAATCAGCTCGCTAGCTACTGCATTCCGGAAACACTGTCCAGAATGTAGCTAAATCCATTTTCGGTTAGGATGTTTCATTATTTAATTTTAAAATATATAAGGTTACATGGAGATATAAAAATTTGTTTATAGGCAATTCTTCTAGAGTTAAATAGTGGGGAAGGAAATGCAGGAGACTGACAAAACACAAATATGCCCAAAACACCAAATTCGCCCGAGACATAAACAACTCATCAGCAAAAGCTAGCAATGTTGCAACGCAAGCTAACACGAACCCTGGAGCCCCGAATGATTTGGTGAGCGCTACAGAATCGCTCAGGTCGGAACTGAAAGAGGATCACGACAGTCTACAAAAGGATATTAATTCTCTACACCAAGAAATGGGCAACAAACTGGACAAAAAAACTGAAGAAATGAAAGGAGTATCAGAGAGAGTGGCCACAGGTGGGGAAATGAGGGCGCGACTCTGGAGCTGAGCGGAGCGCTCACCGTATTCAAAACAAGCTGATCGAGGAGGGACAGTACCTGACTTTTTGGAGTTGGGGAAGAAGAGGAAGGGACGTTTTCAAACACCCTACACAAGAATATGAATCCACTGAGAGGACCAGGCCGTGTATACAGCACCGCACATGAAGCCAGCCTCAAGCTGCACAGTTTTGATTACTTCTCCACTCGGTGAGCGCTTCGCTCAGCTCCACAGTCGGCATTTTTGCCACCATTGCTATACAACACGCAATGTCACAGCCGCTTCAATTCATTAGAAGAGAGAAGCGGCACCAACAGCAGGAGTAAAGGCGGTGGACAATTAGGATCCTCTCCTTATGGAAGAGACGGGACACAGGTGATATTTCTACATGAAACATGTCAAAAAGGTTTGGATATACAAATTCCATCTTCAGCTCACATAAGAATAGCAGGAGAGGAGGTGCAACTACCCTGATATCAAGCACTGTTAATGTTGAAAGGATTGAGGAAGATGAGGATCAAGAAGGCAGATATGCAACTGCGAAAGGAAAGAGTGTCACAGTAGCTCGTGTGTATGCACCTCCAGAGGGGGACACACATTTGACAAGATTACCACCAAGTGTGACGGAAATTCCTGATGTGGACTGGAATACGACTTTAACAATATCGAGGACACAACAAGCTTTAAACAAAATAGAGAAATAATAAATCATTCTTATAAAAGAGACGGGGCGCACACCCACCAAAGCATGGTGGTGGCAGTAAAATGGGAACAGCAGACATATCTGACCATAATGCTATTTATTTAACTATGCATCAAAATAAACAGACGAACATTATGGAAAATGGCTTGTTTAACAAAAATAAATAAATAAATCCAGGACTGCAGAGAGAACAGACAATAACATAGGACACACTTAAGGTAGCAAAATGTCAAAATTTCTACACTGCTTTAAAACTCAGCATGACCCGTCTGAACTGGTGGATGAAAAAGAAATTGTAGATTATTTTGCTGGATTAGACGTCCCCTCTGTAGGAACCTTTCCAGTGACACCTTAACCTCACTGATCACTAAAGCAAAGCGTTATAAGGCTGTACCATTCGTTTGGCTACCCCAGTGAATGGTACAGCTAGCCCCCCTTTACTGGATTCATTCAGCTGGACAGTTAAAAAGGCCAAAACTCGTGAAAACAGGTCGCGATATGAGTCTTACAAAAAGAAGGTAAGAATGAGTACTGCAAATCCTATCGGCCGATATCTTAAATGTCGGCTGTAAACTCCCAGACCTGACAGATGAAGATCAAACAGGATTTATTAAAGGTCGACACACACGGGACTACATCAGACGCGCATTACGCCCATAAGTGAAGCCAACAAACGTGGCGTTCCCACAGCCTTAGTGAGCCTGGATGCTGAGGGTTTCAACTAGACTTTGATTAGACGTATACCAGCGTTGTATCATGAGCCAGCGGCTGGAATGAAAATAAATGTGACAGCTAGCTCTGAGCTCTCCACAGGAACAGGTCAGGTCTGAGACGTATACGAGACAAAGCAATGAGCTGATAGCACAGGAAGAACAAAGAACGCAGACAATATCGTGCTAGACCTTAAAAACCCAGTTGACACATTGTTCAAGCTCTGGAGCATCTTAGAAAAGTTTAGAGAAAAATCTGGATGTAAATTAAATATTTCTGAGACTCAAATATTGTGCAGGAAGGATTGAATTCATCAGACAGAAGTACAAACTTAAATGGGATTTGGGAGCCCGTCTAACAACAGGTCTAAACACACTGTATGAGACAGCACGATTAATAATGCGATGCAAAAGGATTGAACCAAACTGGCACCCTCAGTCTATGCCTGCGCTCAATTTACCCAACGGACTAAATGTACACATATCTGAGGGATCCAAATCCTGTTGTCACGGCAACATTAAAGGTCTGGTGGGATCTGGTAGTCAAACACAAAATCAAAGTAGATTGTAAAATGCTGATTTGGTCCTCACACTGGATAGTGCAGAAGGACTGGGGAACCACAGCAGTATGCACATGAACTGTACACGTGTGGTAAGTCCTCTGAAGCTCAGGCAGGAGTTTGAGCTGCATACCTCTGACTTATTTAGGACACGTTTTATAACACTAAGATCAGAAGCATCTCTCTCAGGAGGCCAGTGAGTTAATAGAAATGTTCATTGTATATAAAACAAAAATGGGAATCAGAATGGAGACTGAACTATCACCGGATGATTGGCTTTGATCCATCTGCCTGTTCCAACACACCTCTACTTGGACAATGGAGAGAATTTGGCTCACAGTTTTTGGAAATGTGAAAAGATTCAATCTTTCTGGGAAATGTTACAAAACACTACCAGATTTCTTATCTCCAGAAGTCATTCATGGTGAGGACATTTACCTGTTTAAAGTGATGAAAGTTGTTACACCAAACTGGCTTCAAAGTGATCCTTTGAGGCTGGAGCAAAGGCGAGACACAGAGGAAATTCCCACAACAGGAGAAGTGGAATCTTTCTGCGGCTCACCCAAATGTAGACATTCTTTGTTGTTTACGTAGCACCACACAAGTTGGGTGGGGCTTTGGTTTTGTCATTTGTCCTTCCTCATCCCGCTACGTTTTCCTTTATTCCCTCAATTTATTGTAAACGTTTGAGGAAAATGAAAAAACTAACGTTAAAAACAGAGGCTGTATCCCCACACACGCCAGAATTCCCCTGTTACATCCATCAGCTGCAGCGACCTGATTCCACTGGCTGCTCTGTATGCTTACCAGGACTCATAAGCTGTTCTTTTCCTTTCCCAAGACACTTTCAGATCTTCATTTAGATTTCTTCTAGTTTATAATAACTGGAACGCGTGCTAACTCTCTTTATTTATGTTGCTTTCAGTGTTGCTTTCATGCAGAAAGGAAAGTTAAAATGTCAGACCTACCTCCCCAAGAACAGCAAAGCTAGATGCTGTGAAGGTTTCTCTTTTTAATCAAGGGAAATCTGCAGTCATTGACACCAAAATGCTTGGTTTCCTTCTTTTTAAAAAATATTCCAGACAGTCTAAAGAGCTTGTTGGACTTTAAGTTTCTTCAAGACATTTCACCTCATAAAAATGAAATAAATAAATAAATGTGTAACTGTATATTACTTAAGTCACACTCTCACAGTGTGGGGCCAAAATGCTTGGAAGCGGCTGAGCCAGGACTTGGATCTGTCCTTTTGGGGACAGATCCAAGTCCATCCAACCGATCCCGTATTTCTGTAAACGCTGGGAGCTGAGACGGGGTACAGCTGTTACAGGTCATCATTACATTTGAAGTCATTTGAGGAATGTTGGTCATGTTCTTCACTGTTTCTCACCTCTGAGGTCTCTGTTGAAGTCATGCAGCCGGCGCACCTCCAGCTCCAACTTGTTCCTCATAGTTTTCTCCAGGGCCTCCCTCTTGGAGGAAGACTTTGCCAGGTTTTCATAGGCCTCTGAGACCAGCTGGATCTCCATTTCCAGCTGTTCACAGACACAGAAAGAGTGAAACTGTATACCAGTTACTGGTCCAAACTGGCCTTACCAACAAAACCACTGTTCTATTGTCTGTTAGCGCTTTGAAACACATTTCAACCAAACTGTTCAGGAACGCATGAAGAAAACAGATTATAACCAAAAACATCTTCTTCTTCACACAGTGCTGCACTTGTCTTGCTGTTAGGCTGAACGTGTCAGCATCAGGTTTGAAGGAGTACTCTGGTTTCAAACAGGTCAAAGGTCATGTTGAACACTAACATCTGAAACTTAGTGGGCAACACTGTCTGCACATGTATCTAAACAGATGACTGCTAAACTTCTTACCTTGTGCAATTTAGTGACTTTCTCGCGACAGGACTCCATTTCCTGCCTCAACATCCTGTTTTCGTCTGTCAGTGTATCTACCATCTGCTGGGCACGGGCCATCATTGCAAAGGGCTCCCCCTGCAGGTGAGTGTAGGACTGTGACAGGGGGAAAGGTCCAGAATGGACCGACAGCTGCGGTTGGGAAGGTCCATGGAATGGCTGCTGCTGCTGCTGCTGATGATGCTGCTGCTGCTGCTGCTGCTGCTGCTGCTGATGATGATGATACAGATGGGGAGGCTGCTGCTGCTGCTGCTGATGATGATGATGATGATGGTGCATCCTTGGTGTGGAGCCATAGGGATCTGGACAAAAACCATGACTCCTCTGTGGTGGGTGAAGCGACCCTGAGGTAAAAGACTCTGCCAACTGGTGGGAGCCGATACTATGTGGACTACGAGGGACCGCCGTGAGTAAGGGCTCTCCCTGGTTCTGGGGTTGCTGATGAGGGAAGGAAGGATGAGAGGAGTGGGAGGCACTAAGGATGTTGCTAAGGATTGAGGACTGAGTGCGCGATAAAGAGCCCACTGAGGTGACAGAGGAGGTGGGACTGTGCTGTTGAAGGGGTCGCTGGGTGTGAACTAAGCCTTCCTTACTGGACCTGCAGAAAGCATGGTTACACATCTGTAAGTCAGTTGTTTTTGCACACTGTTGAACATTTATTAGCATACAGTTCGCTGAAACAGACACAGCATGTGTCCACAGCTATTTTATTGACATTTTTTTCATTTTCATTTGAGCCCAAATGATTTGCTCCAATCACATTTTAACAGTAAACAAACAGTAAACAAACAGTAAATAAACAGCGCCTTTCTAGTCTAGCTGACCACACAAAAGCTCACATTTAACCTGTGTCACACAGACAACACACACGACGCACCACGACACACACACACACACGACACACACACACGACGCACGCACACACACACTCACGCATGCACGCACGCAGCACGCAACGCACACGCACACACACACCTGCCATGTTTGCAGCAGCAGAAAGTCCCCACAGTCACACACAGAGGTAGAAACATGTTGCTGTTTAAGGCTACAGGACGAATTCACTGCAGACCGTTTCTTCTTTGTAAGTGAGCAAACTTCAAATTTCAGCAGGAGGTCAAATAATAATTTCCCCAGCATGCACACCAGTTGCATTTACATACAGACGAAGGTTTTTTACCACGTGTCCTGTCTGATTCATTGGTTTGTCTGCTTGGGTGATGTGTGACTTGTTTCTGAGTAAATTGGGAACACACCAGCTTCAGCTGAGTTTGTTCAGAAAATATCTTTTGTCTTCAAAGGAATGACATCAGACCACAGCAGGTCATGTTGTAGCACGTCCTGCCCTGACAATTAAAATCTGGTTGTATTCATGACTGTTTAAATCCAGTTTGCTCTGAGGTAAGTGCTAAACAGGCCCAACAGGATCCGTCTTTGCATCCAAGAAACCAGGGTCGGTTTTTGTTTTTCTACCTTCTGCTTGGAGAATTTTTACCCTGATGAAAACTAAAATCTTGTTTTTTACCGACTGATAATTGTTTATTTGACTTTAGTTTAGCCGTGGAATTGAAAGCACAGCTGTATGGTTAGCATAGGAGTGCTGAATAATCCCAAACTAGAGGTTTCTGATCCATTTAACAGCTGAGTAGAGTGTTGTGCTAAAGGAAGGAAGGAAGGAAGGAAGGACTCGGATATGTTGAGGTAGAGACCAAGTGTATGAATGCACACATACAAACACACACAGGCTCAGAGGATTGGGACGCTCATCTGTAACCGGAAGGTCGCCGGTTCGATCCCCAGCTCTCTCTGTCCTGCTTGTTGTGTCCTTGGGCAAGACTCTTCACCTACCGCCTGCTGGTGTTGGCCAGAGGGGCCGATGGCGCAATATGGCAGCCTCGCTTCTGTCAGTCTGCCCCAGGGCAGCTGTGGCTACAACCATAGCTGCCTCCACCAGTGTGTGAATGTGAGAGTGGAATTGTAAAGCGCTTTGGGTGCCTTATTATTTTTACTTCTAATTTATTTGTTGAACACACTAAGTGATAACTCAGTGTAAGCTGAGAAAAGTAAATCAGTCTCAGCTCATCAATATTTCTGGGACGTCTTGATCAACGCCTGTTCAGCTCACAGACGCCGCAGCTCCACGCTTTGAAGCTGCCATTCCCAAACCTAAAACGGATCTTTCTCCAATCATTCTGGTGCTGACTGACATGGGAGTCCTAGGCCACGGTCCTCGTGGACTGCTGCCTTCGCATGCTTCTGTAAAAACTCCCTCCACCATACTACACAATTGGGTTGTGTAAATGGCCTGTATTTGTATAGCGCTTTACTAGTCCCTAAGGACCCCAAATCGCTTCACACGTTCAGTCATCCACACATTCATACACTGGTGATGGCAGCTACATTGTAGCCACAGCCACCCTGGGGCGCACTGACAGAGGCGAGGCTGCCGGACACTGGTGCCACCGGGCCCTCTGACCACCACCAGTAGGCAACGGGTGAAGTGTCTTGCCCAAGGACACAACGACCGAGACTGTCCAAGCCGGGGCTCGAACCGGCAACCTTCCGATTACAAGGCAAACTCCTAACTCTTGAGCCACGAGTATAAGGTAGTATTAGGATATTTTGGTGTACTTTTATTTTTTTCTCTAGTTGTTTGCCGAAAGATTAAACTTGTGTTTGAGCTGTAAACAGCACAGAGTCACAGCAGAGCTGGAGAACACCGAGGTTTTTGATGAACAAGGAAAAGACCACTTGTCACTTTTTAAGATCCGGGAATGGTTCAACAACCAATACTTTAACCAATACTACACCTTTATTGGAATAGTAACTACTGTAGAAGTCTGTTTTCCAGCCTACTGAACACAAGTGTGCTGAAAGTTGTAGCTCATTCGTATTTTCCTATAACTGCGTGAGGGCGTGCTCCTTACCTGAACGAGCCGTACTCTGGTGGGGGTTGGTATCGGACATGAGGCACTTCCCTCGAGTGTTCCCTTCCTCTTTGCTCCTGGTAAAAATGGCCTCCCGACTCCTGCTGCTTGGTAGGAGAACCCATACCTTTGAACGGGTAGTCAGGAGGTGGGCCACGATGCTGCGTCTTGTATAAGTCACCAGCTGGCCCTGGAGGGGGCAGCTGGGGAGAAAGTGGGGCGCTAGTGACAGGAGCGTGAGCTTTCACGCCACTGGTGGCCAATGAGAGCTGCATAAGTCGCTCACTAAGCGACCGAACGTGTCCTTGCTTCAGGTCCTTCAGCCCATCGTCCTGGTGGACCTTCCCCATGCCGCTAACTCGCTGCACCGTGGGGCGCCCCTCAGTGCGCACCTTGGCGCTGTTCACCCCTGTGACATAGAAGGCGGCGCCCACAGACGCTTGTAGAGGAGGCTGCTGGGCCTGGTTATTCTGCTGTTGAGGTTGAGGAGGGGGGCCGTGGCCCCGAAAATATTGCGACTGCACTTTGGCCTCTTCATATGTAGGGAGGTCTTCAGAGTTTGGACACTGTCCTTGGCTGCTCCCTCCTCCACTACTACCTCCTCCCCCTCCACTACTCCCACCTCCTCCTCCGGTTCTGGAGGAGCCCAGCTTCTCCAGGCCGCTGTCTGTCTGCAACTCCTGTCCCTGTGGCTCCTGCCGGGCAATGTGGGGGCTCATGGAATGATCATCAGATGGCCCAACCTGTCCCTGCACCGAGTATCCTCCTCCCCCTCCTGTTCCACCACTTCCTCCTCCACCTTGTTGTTGCTGGAGCACATAATTCCGGTTCATTTGTTCCTGTAAGAGACGCTGCAGGACTGTGCTGCCGCCGCCTCCTACACTACTGCTGCTGTTGGAGGACTCCTCGGCTGCGGCCCTCATCTCCACCTCGCGCTGGCCACAAACCTCGTGGAAGGATAAGCTTCGCCCACGGTCGATATTCCCTGAGAGGAGAAGGGAAAGTGCCACAGTGAGTACAGACAGGAATGAGTTTAGTGGGTCAAGAGATCGACAGTCAAAGAAAGAGAAAGTAAAGTTGATACGAGAGGAAAGAAATAACGTTCAGGTCAGACAGGAACAGGAAGCATCCATCACCACCACTGCCCCGCGCAAACAACAGAACACAAGTGGAGGAGGAACAATTCCTGAAAAACATTAGAAACCATTCACCCAAGCCCTCAACCCCCGATCACACGCTCAACTAAGGAGTTAAAACCACAGAAAGAAGACGGCGGCCGTTGGGCATTTAACTGTAAACACTGTAAGAGTAACACTGTTACTGTTCACGTGCCCGTCTCAATAAGACACACAGGTCATTCTCCAATCAACGAGGGCTTTCTGCTCAAACTTATTTGCATTACAATTTCATGGTGCAAACGTTGAACAACAAGCTGTGAATGATTTGCTTTCAGATTTCATGCTGGATTGAGCAAATATGACAAATCTTCACACAAAAACAAAAATATCAGTAGACAGACCCGTTCAAATACAACACAATTCTAGAAACACTAATTATAACTTGGAAAATAATCATGTGGATATTTTTTATATTTTCAAACCCTGGGTCACGTCCAAAGTCTTCAATTTGCCTGAAGGTGATATGATCCAAAGTTTGGATGATTCCTATGAAAATGTAACTTCATACTTCTATATGTTTTTTTATTCATTTATTCTTAAGTTTAAAATGTGCCATTAAAAATGCAACAATTGCAGATATAAAGTGATATAAAAGGGTTTAAACTGCAAATGGCACAGGGTATTTGCTACCTTTCCTTGTCATTGTAAAGATTCTGAAAACAGTTTCTGAGATTCATTTGCAAATCCTGCAGGACATCCATGAAGGATCGCTGTTACCAGAGCAGTCCGTTTCATCTGCAAGTAGTGTCCCAACACGAAAAGATCAGTCCTAACGGGACAGTGTTCACTGCATGATTCACAATCATGTGGTCCTGTACAATATGTTACCAAGGCACCTACTCATTATGATATATTTACTGACTCTCAATATTTGGAAGCCTGCTATCCATCTCAGGAAAGACACCAGGGGTCTCCTCCTTTCTCTAGAAATTCGTGGATAAAAGAAGTCCAACACACTCGAGATATGCCCTCCACAGGAAAGCATGAATAATCAGCGTAAAGAAGTAAACATGAGCAGAAAAAAAACAAAACATGATCCATAGGTACAAAAAGGTAACAGCACGCCATGATTCATGAAAATCACAGAGCAGGGTCAGAAGATGCTTGAATGCACAGTGTGCAACTTTCTCAGAGTCAGTCACTATAGACATTTCAGATGAGCTCAAGAACAGCGTGTTAGAGTTAAACAGGACTTGGGCTCAGCCTCTTAGCTGCAGTCAAACTCTTAATACTTCACCATACCGACAAATTTTGGGCAATTTCACACCGCTAACAAACCTGACTGTTCCAACAGGACTGCACAACAGTGCACAAAGTCTAAAAACACACTGATGTGGAAGAACCTGATTGGCCAGGACAGAGTCCTGACCTCAACCCAAAAGAACATGTTTGGGATGAATTCGAGTGGAGAGTGCGAGCCAGGTCAGGTCAGTGTCAGTGCCTGACCTTTGGGAAGAACGGTCAAAATTCCCACATCATATTAAACACTATGAATTAAGAATGGGACATCACTCAATTTCATGTGTGTGAGGGCAGACGAGCTAATACTTTTGACAATATAGTGTAGCAGGATAGGCACAAGTACCTGGGTATCCCACACTCCAGTGATGTCCATGATGATGCATCATCTGTGGGGCAAAATACCTGAAGAGGCTAAGACCAGCGCTGAGAAGCCAGACACTGTGCTGGTTGGCAAGGAGCAGAAAACTGCTTTGATAGAAGTGGCAATCACAGATAACAACTCCACCAAGGAGCAGCACAAGAGCCTTGAGAAGTACTAGTTGAGAAAACAACCTAAGCAGGTGTGGAAAGTCTAGACGAGTGCCGTTACCTCCCAACTGGGAAAAGTGGCTTTTCCCAGTTGGGAGTTTTCTTTTTTGAATACAATCATCTAATCTCAATATTGCTCACAGTATTTATAACTGGTAAAGCATGGAAACTGGTAGTGTCTCTTCTACTTTCTTCTTTGAAAGTAATGGTGGTAGGCAGGGAGCTTCCTGGTGCACGGTCACCACTTTCAGGCACAAGTTCTACAAAACAGCAATAAACTGAGGGAAAGTATATCAAAGGATTTGCAGCAAAACGTACACAGTTTTTCTGTTGCATTCAAATTAGTATGGTTTCACTGACAACACTGAATGTGATCCCTGTTCGATAGAGTAGAGAAAAGAAAATCATTACATCTAGTTTCTGTTATCCTTCTCATTCTCAAGGAGGAAGATGCTTTTTTCCGAAACATCTGTTGGCAAATAAAATATGAGACAAAAGGAGAAATAAGTTAGTGTTGGTGAGATGCCTGCACTTCAGCAAAATACATATACAACAAAACAAAAGAGTCAAAGTTAGAAACATTTGTATTCAACATATTAAAGTTCCTGAGTCTGACAGCCTTCCTAAGCTATAACAGTGGCTCAATCCAATCTAATGTTATTTATATAGCACCAAATCAAGGTGCTTTATATTGTAAGGCAGACCCTACATACAGAGGCAAATCCAACAATCATATGACCCCCTATGAGCAAGCACTTTGGCGACAGTGGGAAGGAAAAACTCCATTTTAACAGGAAGAAACCTCCGGCTTCCTCAGACTGTGGTGCTGTCGTTTCGATTCATTTTACAGAGAATTTTTTGGGAACAAAACTCAAAAAGTACTTCTTATAAAGATGTATGTTCAGTAGCTACTTTTTCTATTATTCTAGAATTTAACAGTCAATGTCATTAACGAATATTAAAGCAACACAGAGGCAGCTTCCAATATCACGTACCACCTGGTTGCACTTTGGCATATCTACTTAATATCGAATGGCTGTTTTTCATGGTTCATTCACAAAAGTGTGGATTCTGACATTTAATTTGAAAGCCTATCAGCGAATTGCTAATGTAACATAAATGAAGTTGTAAAAGTCATTTTTCACCCACATGTCACCTTGTAGTCTGAAGCTTGTGGCAGCTCTGACATGACTTTTCACATAAACATGTTTATACTTGAACGAACTAGACTGCATGTTTGTCAGTGTATGTTCTGTCATCCAGGTTATACTAGTTTAAGGAACATGGAAGTGACTGGATTTCTCTCATCCCAGAGGAACTGAAGAAGCCTCTTGGATGAGAGATGAAATGTTGTCAGGAAACTTAAAGACATCCAGTCAGTTTCTTTCAAAGCTCTTTAGACTAGACTGCGTTTAAACACGACAGAGAATTGCAGCTGTTAGCTGAATAACTTGCTTTGTTCACAGACACAGAAGGGCAATGTCAGCTTTCTATTGGAGGAGAGACTCTCCCCTCTTCATTAAATCCAAATTCCAGTTGATCATTCATTTCGTGCCAGATTATACCTTAGTCTAGTGTATTAGTATGAGATCAACTCTCAAAGGTTTCTAGAGCTATCAAAAGCAGAATGGGGAACAGGACGTCTGGTTGCACTGAACTACCACCCGTCTGTTTTCAAGAAATCTGACAGCAATAATAATCTAAATCTCAGATTTGGTTAGAGCTGAATCAGGTGACCTTGAATCCTCCTTTATTATAGTGCTATAGGTGGTGGGCAGCTCCTCATAATGGAATGAGTCCTCTGAGCACCACGATCCACGTAACCGTTTTTCTCTACTTTCTCTTTGCCCCTCACCTCCCACGTGGCCCTGTAGACGGCTGCTTCTCCCAAGCCTGGCTCTGTCAGAGGGCCTTCCTGTTAGAAGGAACATGGTCAAAATGGTGACTTTATGCGGACTCAAAATCAGTGCAGCAGACACCAAGATTCAAGGTAGACTTGTTACATATGCGTGTTATTTTTGTCATATTCATTTCAATGGATCTTCCTGTTGCAATCTGCATTTTAGTTCGTTTGAAACATTTGACAACACAAGAAGAAAACATTGGTGTACACATACTGAATGACAGCCAAATCTGTTTCCTGTTTAAATACACACAAAGGATCTGGACAATGAACAAATATTGGATGACAAATCTAGAAACTGCTCATCTCTGGCATTGAAATCTTTTCAGGTTTTGGGAAAATATGTTTTAGGCACCAGAAATAAGCATGCATAGTAATTTAACTGCTCTTATTCTTACATGAAATATGCGCACCCATACTCCACTGCAGCACAGACATGTATAGTTCGAGCATACTTCAATATTGCCATTTCCTGCAATTGCAAACATGTTTTAAGAGGCAAACTGGCCGTTTCCTCATCAGCAGCAAGTGGTTAGGGTCTGTTGGGTCATCTGTTACTGGAGTCAGTGGTCTGTTATTTAGTACTGACTCCACTTCACACATAAGTGTCAGCAAACCTTCATCACTGTTTGATTGTTCTTTCAGTTTAGACCTCAGGAGTTTAACATCCACTGAATTTTCTTTTGCATGACACAAAAATCTGCGATCTCTGACCGATTCTGCTCTTGAATAGTTTTGCTCCTGTTCAGCAGCACCTGGGCTGGTGCAGTTTTCTGACCACATGACACAACCTGACCTCTTCTGCATAACAAAAAGTATCTGATGCCATTTAGACAAGAATCAGTGTTTATTGTGTGCACATTAAAATTGTGCACATTGTACGACAGGTAAGCAGCACACCATATCTTTTCACAGTGCTGCGGCCTAGCTTCAAATCAGCAATCCAAAGCAATCCACTCCCACATTAGTAACGGGGAGTTCATCGGGCGGAAGTCTGTCTTCTTGGCCAGTTTGTTCCAATGGTTTGCCTTTAGTGTTCCAGCAGATTATGCATCCTGACAGAAAGTTCCTCAGCGCCGGGTTAGCAGAAGGAATCCAATATTTCTGTTGCAGCTCTGAGAGCATATACAGTCTTCCACAGTGTCCAATCTTCTCGTGTGTGTCCTGCAGTGTGGTCATACGCACGTCCTTTGGGATAATGATTGGATGCTTCATATGTTCTGGCATCACAGCAGCAGCGAGGCCACCTCCAACTCTCAATACTCCATCCAGAACCAAGCTGGAATTATAACTATAACAACTTTAATTTGTAAAGTTTCAAATATTAATTTAATGTTGAATCTGCCAAATTTGACAAGAAGACGTCAAATTCACAAAAATGGGAAAAAAGGTGAAAACACAAAAAACAGCATAAGTGTCTAGAGTCGCCTTCAACTTGTTATCATAATCCTGGGTTTGCCCATGGATCTCCTCTCAGTGTAACTCACCAAGAGATGTCCAGGAGGCATCTCAGTCCGACAGCTGAACCATTTCAGCTGACCCTGTTCTATAAAAATGTTCAACAGTCTTATGGCGGTTTGCAAGAAGCTTCCACAGCCCCGCACAGCGTTGTACCTCAGGCCATGGTACCGTCTGCCGGAGGGCAGGAGTCTGAACAGGCTGTGGTTGGGGTGTCCCCAAGTGGAAGCCCATCACCTGACTACGCCGAGAAATTCTGTCCATTAAAATAATAAAGAGGATGTGGGCCAAAGGGCAGCCCTGACAGAGTCCAACGCATTGGGAACAAGTCCGACTTGTTCCTGGTAATGCGAACCAAGTTCTTGAAACAGCTGTACAAGAACCAACAACAAGGGTCCAGACACTCCACGCAGCACGTTCCATAGAACATGACAAACGTAACAAAATTTTGCTAACGCCAAGATCAGAGTTTATGTGGAAAAATGAATAAAATCTTATTCAGGACAGGATTTTTGAGGATTTGTTTCTGTAAACAACTTTGACACCAGTGTCTGGGGATATAACCAAAATAACAGTTGTCTCTAGATGTTTATTTTGCAAGGCGAATAAAGAAAACCCAACAATCACATGACCCCTCATGAACAAGCACTTTGGCGACAGTGGGAAGAAAAAACTCCCTTTTAACAGGAAGAAACCTCCCGCAGAACCAGGCTCAGGGACAGGGGGGCAGCCATCTACCACGTGTAGTTGGGGTGGGGAGACAGGGCAAAGACACGCTGTAGAAGAGAGCTGGAGATTAATAATAACTAATGATTAAACGCAGAGTGGCGTATAAACACACAGTGAGTGAAGAAGAAACACTTTGTGCATCATGTGACGACCCCAGCAGCTTAGATTTACTGCACTGTTCCAGACATAACTAAATGCTTGGTCCAAAAAGGAACGTTTTAAGTCCTTAAAGTAGAGTGTGTATCGGTCACCCTGAATTTAAACTGTGAGCTGGATCCACAGAAGAGAGGCCCTGAAGCTGAAGGCTGCCTCCCATACTGTAGTCAGCAGCCTCCCGTACTGTTCCCATAAAAGCCCTAGGAACCACTAGTAAGCCCATAGTCTGAGAGCAAAGTGCTCCAATGGAGTAAAACAGTACTACGAGGTTTTTCAGATAAGATGGGGCCTGATCATTTAAGACCTCATGTCTCATCACTAAATATTGTAGCAGCCAGCAACCATTGGTGCTTCAAGGCACCAATTTGAGGACACCTTGTATATACCTCTGCGATGCACTGGAAATTTTCATGTCCACTGAAGCACTGTAGACTCAATAACTACCAATCACCTGGCATTATCTAAAATATCAGGAATTTAATAGTCCAGTCATTACTTGGCTCGACAGAAAAAAAAGAGGAAGAAATCCCTAAAACAGTAAACCAGTGGGTGAAAGTGCTCAATGAGTACAAACTCCAAATTATTAAGGTGGCATGCCTGTGACCCTGACTTTAAGTCACCATTACAAGACAGAAGATATGTACAGTGGGCTCACTCTAGTATTACATCTACTTGTTCAATGACCAAAACATTAAGGGTCTCTGTCCGATTGAAGTTCCTCATGTTATCCAGATATTCATGGATGCTTATAGTTTCGGGAACAGCAATGGTCTAGTAAGTAAGCTGTACCAGAGTAAGGTTATAATGAATAAGGACTCTACAAACAATGTTAATGGGAAAAAGAAGCAACTCTCAAACCTGGAGGGACTTATGTTGGAAAAAGCAGATCCGCTTCTTTATCACTCCCAAGGAAAAGTCAAAGCAGAACTCAGCTGGCTCTTCATGCTCATCATATCCACCAGCCACATATCCCATATGGAAGGATGTTGCTGCAATTATTTCACAAACCCTGGGTATCTTGGTTTATACAAGCTTTGGGTCTCCAGATCTCAGGTATATCCCGGAAAATATGGGTAAATATGCCTACCTTCTGAAAGTAAATGGACTGATTCTTATCTACTCTCCTGGGGTACTCAAAGTATTAAAACAATAGAAGAAAGTGAATGTTGTATTAAGTACTCACTAACATTCCCACTTGGATGGACGCGTCGGAGAGCAACTTGGGGTCAATATCTTGCCCAAGGATATTTGGCATGCGAGGGATCAAACCACCAACCTTCCAGTCAGCAGATGACCTGCTCTACCTCCTGATGTACAGACACCCTGTCATGTTTGCAGCAAATAAGAAGGCCATTACAAAATGTTGGCTTCAGAAGCACCCCCCACAAATTTTATTAACATAATTAAACACCTTCATTTATTAGACCAAATGACTCCATCTGTTTACAAAAGGATTTGGGAGAAAAGCGATGGAAAAAAAAAATCCTATCTTGCCGGCACAACAGACCATTAACAACACCTGTTGACATACATGACAGCAAAGACATAATCCAACTGATGCTACTGTAACACCCATGACCTCTTGCTTTGTTGGTTCTTATATCCTTTGTTTATGCAATGAAAGTGGAAACATGAACTTAAATCAAAAGTTAAAATACACTTATGTTTAAAATAATGTTGAAAAATAAGGAATCCATGTTTATTTAGTAAGCCTCCATTCTCCTGATGTTCTCTGACTGTTTACATCGTGCTAAATTATATTACAGAGTCCAGCGTATGCATTCAGTTTAGCACATTTGATACATGTACTGGCTAAACATGTTAATAGTTTCAGATGTAATGCTTCAGAGATCCCTGCTAGAGTGAAGCCTTCAGAAAAAACACATGCAACATTTTTCTTCCCACCTGTTGGTCTCTGCTGCATGGCAGTAAAGCGCTGATTTTATCTCTACAGCTCAAACCTGAATTCAGCTTCTGTCCAGACCTTTTCTTTGTTTTTAAAATGATATCATACCTGTGTGGCTCAAAGAATCCTTCCTTATAAAGCAATCCCAGTGAAAAAATGTCTGTTCCACTCACAGCGATATGTACCTGGGTTTTGAAGGTTTGAAGCAACGCACCTCTTTTCCCGTTTCTTCCCACACTCTGACAGGTGGAGCTCGGAGGTGGACCTGGCAACTATTCAGCTCCAAGCCACACCTTCATACCTGTGCACTAGTGTAATTGCTTAACCAGCATTGACTGTCAACCGTCTCCGTGATAAGTGTTTCAGACCATGACATTGTGACTCTATGAACAACAGGATGGACTGTGGGATCACATTTTTCCTTCTGTTGTCTTTAAAACTATAGAAAGACAAAATAGTGGGAGTGCTTTCATACTGCAGATGCCTTTCCTGGTTAAATGTACGCACTGCACTTTATTGCACATGTATTTACTCGGTCTAAGATAAAGCATGAAAATATTCAGGACTTGAAAAATAAAACCCATGATGATTCTAATAAAATAAATAAGAGTCAAGAACAATGTGTAGACTTGTCCTCGAGACGGCTCATGCAAACATGGAAACCACATTTCATGCTTCTGTCACCTGAGCTCAGCACAGTATAACATGCAACACTTCTTTAAAGATCTGTGGAGCACCAACATCCACTCACACATCTGATATTAAGTGAAGACCACCAAGATGTTTATGTGGAACTGTCTGAAGGCAGACGTCCTTATTCTGGACTTTCTATATCAGTATAACAGAAGAGTGCTGACTCAGTGTCCGTCGTTCATGTTGCAGATGTTTCCTAGGATCAGTGCAGATTGTTCACGACACATAAAATGAAAGAAGCAAGCAGAATGATGCTGAAGCAACCGCAGATATTTAAACTGTCAGATACAATATTCAAGAATCAGGTACAACACACGGGTGCAGTACGTGCTGGGATATGTGGCTGGTGAAAACAAGATATAGCACATTAAAGGTTGGACCCAGCCTTTTCTGATCTTGGAAGCTAAGCAGGGTGAGGCCTGGTTAGCACGAGGATAACAGAGGATAACGGGGGTAAACGGTATGTTGGGGGTGTAACCAGCTGTAAGTCGGACTGTGATCCCAGTCAATCAGCAAACTGTTGACATGTTAGCAAACTGGCTGCTACGGCTGATAAAACAACAGCAGCAGTGAAAATAAACGTCACAGTTTAACACGGAGTTTGTCTACACACAAATGATCAGGAGCAAAAGGTCGTAACCACGAGAACGAGCTCTGGTGCAGGGAAAACATTTTTCTAGCAGTGCTTCTTACTGTCATAACCATTCAGACCTTTACAGGGAAACCACTGATCAGCAAACCTGTGAGCTTCTCCCATCCTCCACTGTTTGGTTTACTCAATTCTACAGTAAAGATACAGGAGTTACATTACAATGTGACCTCTGACCTCACTTCCTTTAGGTTCTGTTTAGTTAAACTATGCAAAACTCTGACATTTCTAGCATGAAAACCAATGAGGAGTTTATTTTAAAGGACCTGTATTTTTCTACTGCTGATTATTAAAACAAAACGATGTCTCATCCAATTACTCGAAAAAGAAATGGAATACTTGTTTACTAAAATAATCAAAAGCTGCCGCTCGCGTCCAAATCGTCTCAGCCTCTGTCCTGTGCATCCTGCTCACTCGCAGTGAAAACTTGAACATCTGTCTTTTTGATCTAAACACCATTTTGTAAATCTTCCCATTTTCTGAGCTGCGATCCTTCCATCACAAATCCACCCGGCTGCTGGTCTCTACCTCTGCTGACCTCTCAACCCCAGGGATTAAAGTCATCTACCTTCACTACTTCTGCTAGTTGCCGGTTCAGTGTCACACTTGGGAACAATGCTTGTGTGACTGCGCTGTGCCAAGTGTACAGTTTGGTGGAGCGAGGATCATGGTGCGGGGCTGTTTCACAGGAGCTGGGCCCAGCCCCTTCAGTTAAAGGAACTCTTACCCCAACATTAGACATTAGGATGGACTGCCCCTTTGACCTCAAGCTGAACTCCAAATTTTGGAGCAGCAAATGTCTTTCGTTGAAGAGTGCTGTTAACAAATATCTTCAAATCAAAAGAAAGGACCAGTGACTGTACAGCTACACCTTCTATTCCAGGGATGTCCAACTCCAGCTGTAGGCCAGGAACGCCGGTGTCCTGCAGGTTTTAGATCTCACCCTGGGTCAACACACCTGAATCAAATGATTAGCTCATTACCAGGTCTCTGGAGAACTTCAAAACATGGTCAGGAGGTCACTTAGCAATTTAAATCAGCTGTGTTGGATCAAGGACACATGTAAAACCTGCAGGACACCGGCCCTCGAGGCCTGGAGTTGGAGTCTTTGTGTTTAATGGCAATTCAAGCTTATTTAAAAGCTACAATTTCAAATATTTTACAAATACAGGTTAATCTAAATCATTAAACTCAATCTTGTTTAGTCTTAAATTAAATGAGAATTATCAGAATTTAGTCTGCGTGTGTCAACAGAGAAACTAAAGCCATGATGCTGTGTGGAAATGCCGAACCCCCTGTAAGGGTTGGGGCAGGCTCGTGGGACACGGCTCGTGCCCAATTTGGATAAACAGTTGGGAAAATGAATGGATGGATTTCCCAATTAAAATCACTCTGACTTTTTGCATAGAGTGAGTTTTCTTGTTTATCTGGTCAGTTAAAGATTTCCAGTTTAGTTTCTGTTACTCACTCTGAGGTCCAAACGTCACATACGCAGATTACTGTGCGCCTGTGATAACTGACAGTACACCGCTGTGAAGGCAAAACAACTGTTGTGTCATCCACTTCAGACTGACCCACTCCAAGGACCCCACGTTCACATTCAAATGTCACACAGAGCTAACTGGAGTCCTACTGATAAGGCCAGGATGCAGTAAAGGCTACACCCACCTACGCGTCACGCTGTCAGTGAATTGGCACTGATTATTGAAGTTAATTCAAAGCACACATGACTGAGTCCGAAGCCAATCCAAGCTTCACGAACGACGCGCTGAAAGTCTGGTTTTTCTCAGCCGTTTAGTTTGGTGCCGTAAAATGACAACAGCAGGACTGAAACAGTGTGACAAAGATAAGCGGAGCATCCGGTTGATGTGCGCACACACACGTAAATGATTTACCTGAAGAACCTGGTTTACTTTCCGAGCCCGTGAGTTCAGTGAAACATCCTTTTGTTCGCTCCCTGCTGCTCTGTCGTCTCCTCGGCACAAACTCTCCTGAAGTTACGAAACGCGCTGCTGCAGCCGCTCCATCTTGGACGTCACCGAGGGCTTTTTATTCTTTCACCGGGAAAAAGAGTTTGTTAGAGGCCAAGGAATCTTTTTCCATGTTGGGAGTAAAGAAAGAAGCGGTACATGAGAAGTGGCAGGAAGCACCCCCTCCCCCCCACACCGCCTGGCCTCAGTATGAGAGGAATGTCCATCCTCCCTCCCCCTCCTTAATGGAAACTGGGTGAAAAAGTTTTTGGAACAGGGAAATCCCTCCTTCTCTCTCCTGCGCTCCAGACTGGGCTCTAACAAAGGTCTAACCAGCAGGAAAAAGTTACAAAGCACAACTCTGCGCCCGAAGTGTGTCGTCAGACATGATCAGTGGTCGTTTATTAACCTCGCTCACGTGAAAAAGCTGAAGAAGGGGAAGAAGTGACAAAGAGGGCTTTGTTTCCCGGCAGAGCTCTGCTACATTTAAGTGCTGTCGGAATTTCGTGAGAAGGTGCCCATATGTTGGTTTTGCTTCACGTCAGTCGGCCCAAATCCACATGCAGTCATTTAGCACCATCAGTTTCAAGCCCTGCCTCGACCCTGTGACGATAATAATGCCTTACTATCAATCATTAAACAAGTCCTGTATAGAGGACCAGGATCCCTGTTGCTGTGAGCTAACAGTGCTAACCTCTGCTCCACAGGTCTATGGTGGGCTTCAGGGCTGCTTCATCATGTGATTTTCATCACTTCTTTTCACTTACTGGCGTTTTAGCTTTGCCATCTGCCATTCAGCTTCCAGCTCATTTCTGTGAAGTCAGTGAACGGGTGCAGGACTTGTGACCAGAGTGGGCTCTGTGACATCTGCACTGTATTCTTATATAGGTCAGTACATGTAGGCCATCTTCACCAGAAGGTGGCGCTGCTTTATTCAACTCTATTACATTTGAATTAGAGCCCTGGCAGATCTTTTCTTGGACCCATATCACTGTGTTGTAATGGGACAAATGCAACAACACATTCTCTCCCTGCGTCTTGGCTAACACACACACACACACGTTCACCAACCACAGTCAACATCAGGAGGAATGAACATATTTAGTCAAGTTGATGCTATAAGCCAGGCTACCACAGATTTAGCTTTGCTAGTGGGATTAAAAAGAAGCTGGTTAACCAGGGCTCCTCACAGGCTGACCGGATCACACTCATTCAACAGTTATTTCCAATAAACCAGCTTCTGTATATCATACACATATTATATTGAATATTTTCCTACTTATCTTATGAGGAACACTTTTTTTGGTTTACTTTGCTAAACATTTTAAAATGCCCCATACCATGTTATGGAAATTAGACATAAATGAATCTGCACAAACAGGTTGTCAATGTGAGGTTTAATTTGTCTGCAAAGGGGTCAGACAACAACAGTGCATCAGCAGACTACAATGATTCACAGAAACAAGTTACAGTGCATCCAGAAAGGATTCACAGCGCTTCCTCATATTTTCATGTTACAGCTTAATTCAAAAATTTAATTCATTTCTCACTTCAAAATGCTACACACAAAATGACAAGTGAAAACAAGACTTTGATGTTCTTGCAAATTTATTAAAAATAGCGAACAAAAACATTACGTGACATTCAGATCTGAGCTAAGGTGCTTCCTATTTCCACTGTTCATCTGTCAGATGTGTCTACAACTCGACTGGAGTCCACCTGTGGTAAATTCAGTTTACTGGACATGATCTGGAAAGTACACACCTGTCTCTGTAAGGTCCAAACCATGGACAGGTGTCAGAGCACCAACCAAGCCATGAAGTCCAAAGAATTGTCTGTAGACCTCAGTGACAGGATTGTATCGAGGCACAGGTCTGCAGAAGGGTACGAAGAGATTCTGCAGCATTGAAGGTCCCAATGAGTACAGTGGACTCCATTATCCATAGATGGGAGACATTTGGAGCCACCAGGACTCTACCTGGAGCTGGAGGTGTCCAAGAACCTGATGGTCACTCTGACAGAGCTCCAGTGTTGCTCTGTGGACAGAGAACCTTCCAGAAGTCCAACCATTTCTGCAGCACCAATCAGGCCTGTATGGTAGAGTCATCAGACTGAGCCCACTCCTCAGTAGAAGGTGACGGCTCACCTGGAGTTTCCCAGAAAGCACCTAAAGGATTCTCAGACCACGAGAAGCACAATTCTCTGGTCTGATGAGACAAGGGTTGAACTCTTTGGCCTGAATGCCAAGCATCATGGCACCACTCCTTGTCTGCCAATAAAATCGTTACAGTGAAGCACAGTGGTGGAAGCATCATGCTGTGGGGATGTTTTTCAGCAGAGGGAACTGGGAAACTGATAGAGTAGTCAGGGTCAAGGGAAAGATGAATGCAGTTATGTGTCCAGAGCTCTATGGATCGCAAACTGGGACAAAAGTCCATCTTCTAACAGGACAACATTCCTAACCACACAGCCAAGACAACAAATGAGTGTGCTGATGCATGCTCAATCATCCAGGTAAGCAAAAAGTTGATTCTGTTCATCTGGATGTTTTCAGTGGGAGAAACATTTCATCACTCATTCAGGTGACTTCTTCAGGCTCAGCTGACGGCAGGTTTCCCCAACCTTATAAACAGTACAATGCTGTGATTGCAACCACTGCCCAACTCTCTGTGAATGGTACTCATGGCCTTTGATCAATGGTTGTCGATCATGGTCATGACAATTTGCATATTAATGATCCAGAATCTCAGCTGCTGATGATAATTTTCCACAAACTATCCAAGAGATAATACACAATCACAGACATGCAGAATTATAAAGTCTCTGGCCCCAACTCTGGAACCTTTTGAGAATCTCTTAAAAAGATTCAAATTAAATTGGCCCTACTACTACACTCAGTCTGCTTCTATTCTTCCAACTGGAGCTTACTCCAAAATGAAGCAGGTCTTCCAAACATGGGACAACCTCCCAATGTCATTAATAGGCAGAATCCACGCTGTGAACAACATTGTTTCTAAATTCATTTTCTTGTTCCAGAGACTGTCCCTGTTTCTACCAAATATCTTTTAAGAGAAAGTTTTTAAGCAAAGCATTACTTCCTTCCTACGGCATGGTAACATCTCAACAATAAGTAGAGCAGTACTTCAGCAGTGTGTCAATCTGAAGGAAACGGTACCCCAATCCAAGAAGTCTGGATTGGCTCTCTGTTTAAAAGTCCCAACCTCTGATGCTATGGGTCTTTGTGGCAGTACAGAGCTTAGATGGAGCCTGATAGGTGAGAGGATTAGCCCAGTACTGACTGCCTCTGTTATCCAGGTGTCTTCCCTGCCTCCTCTGATAAGAAAAAACGGAGACCTGGGCAGCCTTGCAAGCCTGGTCCTACCAGTCACACCTGTCCTGGCAACTCCCCGCTAGATTGGTGCACTTGATAACTGATTTGGTTACATTTAGTCGCCTGGAAATAACTCTCAAGAGTCTGTTACTATAAAAGGGCTGGAGCAACCTGTAAGAGCCATTTATACTCATGTAAATTTAACCTAACATCCAAGTGTTTCTTTGAACTCAGTCCACTAAGAAATTAGTCACCGGGAACATCCCTAATTATATATACCAGTCAAAAGTTTGGACACAGCCTCTTATTTAATGCTTTTCTTTAATTTTACTGCATCTACATTATATATACATGTTAAAGACATCTAATATATGAAGCAAGATTTATGGAATAATGTAGCAAACAAAAAAGTGATAAATAACTCAGCTCACAGGCCTATTTGACGAAATTTGATGAAAACTATATCACATGAGGATCGGCCCAGGAAAGGAAGACCAAGAGTCTCCTCTGCTGCTGAGGATACATTCAACCGAGTCACCAGCCTCAGAAATTACAAGTTAGCAGCAGCTCAGATCAGAGCCCAGATAGATGCCACACAGAGCTCCAGCAGCAGACACATCTCTACATGTTCAGAGGAGTCTGTGTGAATCAGGCCTTTATGGTCAAACAGCTGCTAAGAAATGGTAAATGGCCTGTATCTGTATAGCGCTTTACACATTCAGTCATCCACCCATTCACACACACATTCACACACTGGTGAAAGAAAGAAACCACGACTAAGGAAAAGCAACATTGAAGGCAAACTGACCCACCATGGCTACCACAGCATCCTGCAGCCACAGGACAGGACAATGAGGACAGGACAATGAGCCCAAACACACCTCCAGGCTGTGTGAGGGCTGTTTGACCAAGAAGGAGAGTGATGTCTGTGCCAGATGGCCTGGCCTCTACAGTCACCTGACCTAAACCCAGTGGAGATGGTTTGGGATGAGATGGAGCGCAGCGTGAAGGCAAAAGGACCAACAGGTGCTCAGTATCTCTGGGAACTCCTTCAATTCCATGTGTTCATTCATAGTTTGGATGCCTTCAGTGAGACTCTACGATGTAAACAGTCATGAAACTAAAGAAAAAACATTAAATGTGTCCAAAGTTTTGGTAGTGTACCAGCTGGAGAAGATGTGAAGGGTAACGGTGGTCCCCGTGGTAATCGGAGCACTCGGTGTGGGGACTCCCAAACTAGGCGAACGGCTCCAGCAGATCCCGGGAACATCGGAGATCTCTGTCCAGAAGAGCGCAGTCCTGGGAACAGCTAAGATACTGCGCAGGACCCTCAAGCTCCCAGGCCTCTGGTAGTCCCGAGCTTGGAGGATAGACGCCCACAGCGGCGACAGCGGAGTTTTTCACACACACACATATATATATATATATATGAATGAAACAATCTTATTCCCTTAGCATTATCTTTTATTTCACACTTCACAAAGTGAGAGGACCACACATTACAATTTTACATTTATTTTAATGTCCATCATTGTTCTTTGTACATTTAAAGTATTAAGATTTCGAGTTTCAATCAACACAGCTGAAGGTAGATTTTACTGTTAGAAACTCTGTAAGTTAGTTACTCATTTAAATGAGTTACAGCGGTGACAAAAATACATTATAACTATTAGCATCTTTAAGGGTTTAGCATTTTACTCAGGGGAAAGGGTCTTGTGTTAAAATGTAATCATATATTTTTACAATAAACCTTATCATAACATGAAAAACACGAACAGGCAGCACACACTGTGCATCTTCACAGCATCACTGTGGCTAGCTTATGCCCCAGTGCTCAAAGGACAGCGCTGTACTTTGGTGAATCTATCTGAGCATTTATACAACGTACAGGCCGACCATAGCGCCGGCTGAAAGTATAACTGACATCTCGTGGCCCGTATGTGTCTATCCCACCCACGTGGTTAGTTTCTGCTCAAGAACTCGGTACATACTGTGACAACCATCGCTCTGCTCAGAGCACAAGACGAACATGGCCTTTACTGTCCAGCTCAACTAAAGACAGTTGTTGCAGGACCTTCAGCTTAGCATCGCTCACATTCATCTTCAACTGCTTCATCTTCTGCACGCTAAGTGATCCCCTGCAATGGAAATGGATTCACATTTATAAACTGATTTTCTGGCCTAACAGACCACTCAAAACTCTTTAGACTACAGGCTGCTTGTAATCATACGTTTACACAGTGACAGCCAATCCAGACTCAACATGTAATCAAGCTTTTTCAGAATGAACCAGTTTACTTTTCCATAGCCTCTCACAATAACAGCTGTTTTTCTCCAACCTGTTACTTTTGCCCAGATGTTGCTGCAGCTGCTGGTAGAACGTATTGAGGTCAGTTAGCTTGATGTTGGAGCGTACGCTCGGGGGGAGCAACTCCAGCATGGCTGCAGTCAGTTCCTCACACTCACTGCCTGGGGACACAATGACAGATCAGACATGGATCAT